TCCGTAATGCTTCGTTAATAGAACACAAGTTTACATCGAAACAGTAAAATGGCTGCTTCTCAAACAGTAGTGCGTGGCTACATTACTCGTTTATCTCCAGGTGGCGATCGTTTATATTTTCATGTTTCTGGTGATCAATCGCCATATGGTTTCACAGAAAGTGATTGTAAATTTATTTTCTATACGACACCGTATTTCCAATCTACATATCAACTTTTATTAAAGGCAGCTGAACATAAATGGGAAGTTGTTGTCAAACGAGGGTGTGGGTGTGGGTGTGGGTATGGGTGTAGTGTATGGTATCCTCTTCAGGAACACCCACATTCACACCCACACCCACACACCCCACCCACACACCCACACCCACACCCACACCCACACCCACACCCACACCCACACCCACACCCACCCACACCCACACCCTTTGTTTAGTAGCGCACACTTTGTTGAAATTTTTCACGGGTTCCAAGGATTCCGGCGGCGCTCCCCTCCATTCAATGACTGGGACGTTTACAATATTAAGAAAAGTTTTTTTTTGGTTTCCTAGTCCTTTACTTACTTATTGAATTTCTATGTTGAGTTTTTGTACTCAATGATATTTTCCCAATCGACGACATAGAGACTGCTGTGTTGATCGAATGACAAACCGATGAGCACATTGTGTTGATTCGTTTGTCCTCCTCTACTGTTTCCACCAACAATGATACTTCTCTGTGGGGCGGCTCCTTGGGATCAACGTATAATTCAAGCATTCCCTTCATCAGCTACATACACCGTATTCAATTGAACAACAACAACAACAACAACAACGACTCCTTGAGGATAGGACAATGGTGTAAGACCATTCACTTCCTTCTTCTTGATCACCAGCCACGACAATGCCTTGTTTTGCACCTTCCACCCACTTCGTCACACGATGATTTCTACAGTGTAGATACATACATTGAATGATCTCGTTGGGCGAATACGTATCGTGGGAGGGGAAAGAGAGTTGATCGACATGATTTGGGTGTGGGTGTATTATTCTCAACCCAGTGCCCACATCCACACAGACAGCCCAATGCACACCCACACAGACACCCCCATGCACACCCACACCCTTTTCCCACTCATATTTTGCCATTAAAAAATCATTTGAATATTTAAACTATGGTTCTACTAGATATGAGAGCATACAAAATAAGTGAATGCTAGAAAAACATGAAGTACGAGATAGAAACACTAACAAGTCTGCAAGAGAATATTTAAACTGTCAGTACCATTATTAGCGACGGCAAAATCTAGTTTTCTGTCATTGTTGAAATCGCCAATGACAATAGAGAATGGATGGGTTCCATACTCCAATGGAAATAAGATGATGCTTGCAAATGTGCCGTTGCCTTGTCCAAGAAGTACACCTAAATAATTGGTATCATGAATCGCGACGACAATGTCTAGTATAGTATCAGTGTTAATGTCTTCAACAGCTAAAGAGTATCGAGACGAACTGGAGTTTGTTGAATACATTATCAGATTTCCAAAAGAGCCATTCCCACATCCAAGAATAATAACAACACTGTCCGCGTCACAACTAGCAAAGACGATATCCACTCGAGTATCATTGTTGAAATCACCGGCACCCATAGAGCATGGATATAAATATGGGTAAGTTGAATATGTCATTTGATTTCTAAAAGAGATATTCCCATATCCAAGAAAAATACCAATATTGTGGGTACGCGAATTAACGACGCGAATATCCATTAGATTATCATTATTAAAATCGCTAATTACTAAAGACTGTGGTCGAGAATCATTTCCAGTTACCAGTATCATTTGCTTTACAAAAACTACATTGTCATAGCCAAGAAGGACACTCACATCATTGCTAAGCCAATTGGCGACAACGATATCTAGTCGAGTGTCGTTGTTGAAATCATCAACAACTACAGATGTTGGAAAAGAGCCAGCTGAATATCTTGTTTGATTTTCAAAAGAACCATTTCCATTGCCAAGAAGGACACTCACGTCATTGCTATAATAATTGGCGACAATGATATCTAGTCGAGTGTCGTTGTTCAAATCACCAACAACTACAGACCATGAACCAGAGCCAGCTGAATACCTTGTTTGATTTTCAAAAGAACCATTTCCGTTTCCAAGAAAAACACTCACATCATTGCTACCCCAATTGGCGACAACGATATCTAGTCGAGTGTCGTTGTTCAAATCACCAACAACTACAGATTTTGGATAAGAGCCAGCTGAATACCTTGTTTGATTTTCAAAAGAACCATTTCCATTTCCAAGAAGGATACTCACATCATTGCTGCCCCAATTGGCGACAACTATATCTAGTCGAGTGTCGTTGTTGAGATCACCAACAACTACAGACCATGGACCAGAGCCAGCTGAATACCTTGTTTGATTTTCAAAAGAACCATTTCCATTTCCAAGAAGGACATTCACATCATTGCTATAGTAATTAGCGACAACGATATCTAGTCGAGTGTCGTTGTTCAAATCACCAACAACTACAGATTGTGGAAAAGAGCCAGCTGAATATCTTGTTTGATTTTCAAAAGAACCATTATTGTACGCAACAAAGATATCCACATGATTACTTCCACCGTTAGCTATCACGATCTCCGATCGTTTGTCATTATTAAAATCACCAGAAGCCATAACTAACGGAGGTGAATCAAAACCAATTTCATAACTTGTTTGAATTGCAAATTTTCCCTTTCCCTTTCCAATCATCATATCTACATGCTTGGTACCATTATTGGCTAAAGCAATATCCGCTATGCGGTCACCATTGAAGTCCCCAACCGCGATGGAAGTCGGATGAGAATTCGCCCCAGTGCTGAGCATCATTTGGTTTTCAAAACTACCAGTCCCATATCCAAAAAGGACCCCAATATTATTAGTGCTATAATTAGCTAAGACGATATCGAGGTTAGTATCGTTGTTCAAATCACCAATCACTACGCATTGTAGGCTAGAGCCACCGCCAGATGCATACGACATTTTATATGCCATCACTCCTCTGTTATATTGCAGCAGGACACTCATATCATTGCTATCCGAA